TGTAGTGGCGTTATAAATGGTAGTAGCAGTTGTAGCTTGAGTAGCACTTGTTGGGTAAAACGTGGTGGTGACAGGAAGAGTGGCGCTAGTGCTGGCAGTCGTGGTACTGGATGTAGCAGCACCGGTGGTAATAGTCTCGGAAGTAGTAGCCTTCGTAGTAGATGTAGATGGATGAGAAGAAGTCATTGGCAAGGTACTTGTCATAGGTGTGGTAGAAACTGTAGGACCACCATGAATCCAAGTAACCTCCGTTAATTTTTCCAGGCTGATAATCTTGTCTGTCAATTGAACAGTTAGTGTCTGCCGGAAAACAATAGATAAAGTTGGTATTTCAGAACTTCTTAAATATCACATTTAAGTTATATGTCAAATCAGAGTATAGCAAAAAACGATGCATTCATTCTTTTTCTAGAGAGTAATGAAACTATGTGAAGATTCCTTTTCAGGTCCCAATGATTCTGACAAGTAGATACGGAGACGTGCTGTGTGTATAATCCCTATGCTGGAATCTGTTTCTTTCAACTTCATTTAGTCAGGACCACACTGCTCCCAGGTAGATGCATTATTGACTAAAACCAGTGTTTATAAAAGCCTCGTTATTTTGCCACTAGGTTTAACCTTCCTGTTTTCATGTGTCACCATCCTCAACACCTGGTGCCTGGAACATAATAAGCACCTGATATGCTCCAAAGTGTCCCCAAAAGAAGGCATTAAAAGATGTTCTGCATTGCCTTAACTGGAAGTAATTACTTGCAGTAGGTGGTTTTGAACTCAATATAGTTCAGGAAAAATGTTTTGAAGGACCTAACGAGAAGAGGCTATAAAGAAAGAATCTTTGTGAGTGTTCAGAGGGTCATTTTCCAAAATCCAAATACCAGCTGGGCACTCTTTTCTTCATCTTTTAGAAAACAGGAAGTAAGCCTTGTCACTTTTCCAAACCACCGTCTATGTGTCAGAAACCCTATTGATAACAGGGCTAGCGTTCTAAAGTGGGATACTTCCACCTCTGTGGCGACTCTTGATTATCTCTGCTGGTAACTCGTCTTCCAATTAGCTGGCTCTGGTAAGTAAAGCGGAGTCTACTAGAGGGTCCCGTAGGGTCTGCTACTTATGTCACTCTGTTTTGGTTAACCGAATAATCCCACTTCCCGTACTAGTGAAATATACTCATTTTGATGATCACCACATATATTGCCAATTTTCACGAACTTGTAAGATCTATCAGTTCTACCAGGGATAGGAGCGATTTTTAGGAAGGTGGGGGAAAATCGCCAACAATTTTAGAGGATCACTCTTCCTTTGCTTTAACCTCTGCCATGGAAGGAAGTTTTGTTGCACTCGCCTGGTGGACCAACCTTGGCACACAGTACAATTTCTTTGGGAAACACATGGAAAGGATTTCATCAGACTGTTGATCACTGATCCCTGGACTGTACTGGAGGGTCACTAATGTGCACTTTACAATATAATTCAATGCTGGCCACTTTTCAGGAGCACACCTATTGCACATATCTGTAAACTTCCAAATATAAGCAAATAGAACAATGATAATAATAGTGGTGATAATTTTGCAGAGCAATAAAAATATATGATATGATAACATTCCACTGAGACATACCTGATTATAAGGGTCACTCTTGAAATCCATCACCATGAATTGCTGGTTGTCATAGGTACAAGTGACTTGTGTTACATACGTAGAATTTACGCCCCAGATACTAATATTTCCAACTTTCAGTGGATTAGAGTCACTCAAATACTTATTGTGTATGGTCTGGATTTGCAATACATTCTGCAAAGAAAGTATAAAGAGAAAAAATTCATAATACATCTGTTGATAGGCTATATTCCACATTAAAATGTTTAAAAAAAAACCCTCAAACTACTATTGTACTGGCTTTCTGTTTTTATTCTTAAACACTTCATAAAGACTTGCTGCCTGAGTACTTGCTACAGTAAGTTTGATGATGCCAAAAATAGGTTTATGTATCAACCTTATGAAAATTATTTTACCTGTATTATTACTAATTCTTGCAATGATTTTGAAAAGAAAGCATCATTATCTCTTTTACAGATGAGAAAACCGAGGCTCTGGGAGATGGAGTGAGAACTAAAAGACACACAGATGGTTGGACTTGTGATGGGCCCACATGCATAGCACTGTATATAAGTTAACACAGGTTGAACAAAGAATTATGGTAAACGGTCCCCTGACTAAGGACAGTTTGCAACAAATACAGGACTTTATCTAAATCATGACCTATTTTAAATATCAATATAAGAGTTAAAATAATGAGGTAAGTCATGAGATGGTACATGATAAAGACCTAAATGAAAATCATAGTGAATATTCATTACGGGTGATAAGAGAAAAAAAGAAATCACTGGGGGGCTAGGGTAGTCAGGAAAGGACTTATGTATATGTATAACTGAATTGCTTTGCTGTACACCTGAAGCTAACATTGTAAATCAACTACATGTTAATAAAAAAAAATTTAAAAAACTCTAAAAAAAAGTAATTAAAAAAATTAAAAGAAAGGTCTTAGGAAGGACATGAACTTGAGAAGGCCTGGGAGGATGGATGAAGTTTATAAAGGCAAAAAGACTAGGGAAAGGAATGCAGTGGGGAGAGGCAGGGACACGGTGAACAAAAGCCCGATTGCCAAGTGCAAGGGCTACTGAAGCTGGTGCTGAGTAGAGAAATGAGACTGCTTAAGTCTGTAAGATAAGCTGATGAAGATTTTAAGCAATAAATCATGGAAACAGGTGCAGTAGAGTGAAGCTGCAAACACTTCAACTCGATAACTATAGTAGACAGACAAAGAAAAATGTTCACTTGGCATTATGGAGAATTAGCAAGACCTTTGTGACTGACTGAACAAGCAGAGTTAAGGGAAAATGAAGAAAAAGCAACATAACACGAAGTAAATGAGTGTGCTGGAGCTCGCTCTTGAATTGCCTGGAATTTTACAAGCCAGTTGATAGCCTGAAATTGGCTAACATAGTGGGAGTACGTATACCACAGAAATTAGCAAGTACTACAAAGCAGCCCCCAGCCCTCATAACCCCACACCAGCTAGACCACCACTGATAATAATTACTCCCAGGGGAAGCCTGCTTTCATTTCAAGCCACTGATCCTTATGAAAAATTCCATCAAATATCACATAGAAATAAGAATCCATTTATCACGACTTAGGAACAAAAGAAGAATGGAATTTTAGAGTTAGAAGCTATATATGGGAAATCTAGTATTTTATAATTAAGAAACAGATAAATAGGAGAAATATCTTCCTTTGGTTGAATAACTATTTAGCAATAAAAACAGAACTAAAATCCAAGATTTCTAGATCAACAGCTTCATTAAAAAATAATATTTTGAGAAGAAAAATAAGAAATCTCCAACTTTTCTTAAATTAAGAAGAGATGTTACATGCTTAATTAGTATACAAAGTCTTGCATTTAGTTTCAAAAAGGCAAATGCAGGATGCAGATGGCATAACCTAATAATCATGTCTATGAAAATAACTTGAAGGATTTAGTTGACCAGGAGATTTGTATTTGCCAAAGATCTGATACACGTGTTCAAAGAAATTAACACAGTGTGAGGGAATAACAGTAAGAAAACAGAGTCTAGTTCAAAGGAGCTAATAGTTAGGCAATGAGCTAAATAAACATTTATTGTTTCATGTCACTAAGGTTCGAAGGTTGTCTGATTTGAAGTAGGAAGTCCATGCCATCCTACAGAAGTGTAATGCAAACCACATATGTAATTTAGCAGTTTCTTATAGCTACATTTTTAAAAAGTAAAGAGAAACAGGAGAAACTGATTTGAAAATATGTTTTATTTAACCCAATCTATCCCAAATATTGTTAGTTTAACATATATTGAGTAGAAGATATTAGTGAGATATTTTATAATCTTTTAAATATTTCAAACTAAGCTAGTCATATTTCAAATGCTCAGCAGCACTTGTGGCTAGTGCTACCACAAGACTGCGTGTTGTAGTGAAGCTCTAAGACATTCTCTCCTGAGCACCATGCTTTAAGAGGAATCTAGACTAATTGTAGTCCAAACAGAATAATCAAATCTGGAAACCAGTATAAGCACAAAACAGAGGAAGTATGAAGTCAGATGTACAATTCCAGGAAGAGAAGACAGAGGGGATACATGACAGATACTGTCAAATACTTGAAGCACTATTATGTAGAAAAAGCACTGTTGTTACAGTATTCCTCAGTTAAACCAACAGGTTAACATTATTGAGAAGCAGAGTATAGGTCTGGCATAGAATGATCCTCCTACTTTAATAAGAATTATATAGATTATCCATGAATCATTTAACATGCCTGGTAGACTGACTGTAGGATCATCTCCAATTACTCACCCCTCCCAACCCATCCCCCTTTCCATGTAATTTTGCAGTGCCCCCACCACCATCACCATGGGGCATTCTGTTCCACCTTTGCCTCTGGGCTTGGCCATGTGACTTTGCCCTGCTAATGAGATATTAGTCAACTTGATGCAAACTGAGGATTTTTTTTTAAGTGCTTAGGCATTTCTACTTCTATTTTTGCCCTCTTTCATAATTCGGAAACGCTCATGCCCAGACCTGCCCATAAAGCCATCTGACTGTGCCCCTCCCCGATGTGTGATGCCTTCCCCTGCCCCCCCGCCACCGCCCAGATCATCCAAGCAGCCTAACATTCTCATGACTGATTGCAGACGGAAGTGAGCCAGCCAAGACCAGCCAAATCCAGCGTAGAGCATCTGAACACTGCAAATCTATGAGTTAAAAAAGCATTAATTGTTTTGAGGCTGTTTGTTATGCACCACTGTTGTGCAACAGATAGCCAATCTAACACTTATCCTTCAAAATTTTATCAGCCAGAAAATGTTATCTCATCTCCTAAATGCATCACACATTAAGGACTCATTTTCCCCCAGCATTACATGAATTACAAGTTTCTTTTCACAGAGTGATGGCATACTGGATAATTGTCAAAATAAGAACTGTTTCTTCTTTAATGTCAACAGACCTGATTTATAAATGTAAAGGCAGGAAGATAAGGGATATTATATTTACACATTTTACCAATAATATTTAATCTGTTAAACAACTTGGAAAGGATTTATAAAATACAATAAAATAGTCTTACCTGAGCTGCTGTAAAGTTTGCCAAGAAGTAGTTTCCATTTTCATAGGTGTCTGCAAGCAAGAAAAAAGAATAAGTAACTACTCATTGTTTCATCTGTAGCGGACGATCTTGCATACAGTCAGAAAATACCTGCACAGGATCACAGTGATCAGGATAATCATGACCCTTCTGAGGACCACTAAAGATGGTCCCTGAGGGAATATATCCCCCCAGGTTAGTACATATGGAAAAGGGTGTTTTGAAGTGAGGGTCAGGAGGTTGAAAATACAAGAGAATCTGGGCTGAACTAAGGCAAGACACCACAGGTGAAAAACTGTGGAGGCTACTGAGTTTTCTTTTTTTCTGTGCCTACACAGCATGCACATAGCCATGAGAATTCACGTGGCTGTGATGATAATGGCTCAAAGCTGAGGAGGGTGGTTAGGAATTCAGGCTCTCAAGTTAGATTGACGTGGATTCAAGCCCCCCTTGTGTACTTAGTCGTTGTGCAAACTCAGGCACGTTACTTAACACTTTATCACCTGTAAAATGGAGCTAGTAATAGAATCTGTTAACAGAATTAATGGAGAAGTAATAGAATCATGGCAGTGAGGTACATCACATGCTGCTTGTGCAGAATAAGTGCTCAAAATTTGGTGTTCACTATCATCCTCAAAGTCATCATCATCTTCATCTTCCTCCCTACTCGTCTCTCCCTATTCTTAGTGCATCCTTCCAAGGCGCTCTAGACCCCAAGCCCTTCTGCCTCTATAGGACTTACTCCCTCAATCTCCACCATACTCTCTCTGCTCTTCCAGGTTCCAGTCATACTCCAGGGCTCTCCATTCTGACAAATCCTTTACTTGATTCTATGTCAGGCTACCACATCTCCTTTTTGCTGTCATATGTCTCAAAAAAAAAAGTAGCTTCGACTTGTTATGTCTGTGTGCTCAACTTATAATTCAGTTCTACATCTGCCACACTACAGCTCCTCTGTTTCCTTTCTTCACTGAATCTGGTCCTTTCAAAGTCACCAGGGACACAGTATAATGAATGTAAATATCTTGTCATGATGTTCAGGGTTTTTAGCCTCTTTTTCTACACATCTCCTCCTTGAAATACTCCTTAATTGATGTCCAGTTTACTCATTCTTTTCATGTGGCTTCCTGAATTCCTATCTCTGAAAAGTCAGTCTCATTTCATGTCTTGCTCTTGGGACTTGTCAACATTCCATCTCTTACCAATATTCCCACATAGTCTCTCGCTGAACCAGTAATGCTCTTCTTTGTTTTCTAAACGACCGCCACTCTCGTGGAAACAAACAATTATAAAACCCGTATTTTTTAATTTAGCCCTGGCAGAAAATGTAACCTAAGCAAACACTATAGCCTCTTTTAGCAGCTTTAATTTAAAAATTTTAAAGAATGGGATTCTATTAATATAAATGACTTAAGATTAACCTTGAATTGACTATTAAATCTCCTAAAATACAAGTAAAAAAAAGTTCAACAAATGATCACAAACTTGTTAACAGAAAAATTAAATTAAAGGTATACTTATTCTGTATCTTTGTGTTTTAAATTTGAATGTCTATGTGTGTTTGGTGAAAAAGGGCAAAGAGCTTCTTTATATAAAGAAGTTAAAAAGTGTGAAAGTTTTAAAACTTTCAGGGACTATTGATTTCTAACCTTGAGGCTAACATACATTTGTTGTAGGAAACTAAAATTTTAATAGAAAATTGTTTTTCCCTGAAGTTATTGACATATATTGCTCACAGTGGGCTGATTTTACACAGTAAGTGTGGTGCTATAAACTCAATACAACATCAATCATCTAGTCCTAATTAGCTCAAGCTGTACAAAAGATCCTAGATTCCCTTACAACACCGGTTCTCAACCAGCAGACATTTTGCTGGTGGAACATTTGGCAATATCTAGAGACATATTTGGTTGTTACATCTTGGAGTTGGGGAGAGTGCTTGTGGCATCTCATGGGTAAAGTTTGGGGGTGTTGTTAAAGATCTTACAGTTCACAGTTCAGCCACCATCAATAACAATTATCTATCCCAAAATGTCAGCATTATCAAGGTTGAGAAAACCTGCTTCAAAAAAGGCATGTTCTTAAAAAAAGAAAGTTAGAAGATGCTCGCTTCGTGATTTCAAAACTTACTTCAAAGCAAGCATAATCAAGAGAGTGTGGTACTGGCATAAGAATGAAAAATATATGTGTGTGTAAATAAATATATATGTAATTTTAAGTGAAGGTTTATTTCTGTGTCCATATTATATATTTATATTTAAATATACATAAACGTATATATAATTTGCTTTATTTATATGACTCCACATGATTTCATTTATATGAAGTGTTCAGCATACATAGATGTATAGCTACAGAAAGTAGATTAACAGATGAAGATATGTATCTTCACATTTAAAGTCAATTGATTTTCAACAAGGGTGTCAAAACAATTTAATGATAAAAGAATAGCCATTTCTCAAATTGTGCTGGGACAACTGGATATGAATATACAAAAGAATGAAGTTGGATCCCAACCTCATACCATATGCAAAAGTTAACACAAAGTGGATTAATGCCCTAAATGTAAGAGCTTATACTATGAAACTCTCAGAAGAAAACAAGGGTAAATCTTGGTGACCTTGGATTTGGCAATAGTTTTTTAGTATAACACAAAAAGCACAAACAAAAAAAGAAAAATTAATTTGACTTCATCAAAATGAAAAACTTTTGTGCTTCAAATGGACACTCTTAATAAAGTGAAGACTATCCACTGATTGGGAGAAGATATTTGCAAATCATACAACAGATGAGGGATTTGTAAATAGAATACATAATGAATATTTACAATTAAATAATAAAAAGGCAATCTAATTTAAAAATTGGCACTGGATAGGAATAGCCATTTCTCCAAAGAAGATACGTAAGTGGCAGTAAGCACATGAAAAGATGTTCAATAGCTTGTTATTAGGGAAATTAAATCAATCAAAACCACATGAGGTATTACTCTATACCCACTAGGATGATGATACTCAAAAAAAACAGATAATAACAAGTGCTGACAAGGATGTAGAGAAACTCAACCCCTCATGCTCTGCTAGTGGAATGTTAAATAGTGAAGTAGTCTCTTTGTAAAAGAATCTAGAAGTTCCCCAGAAATTTAAACACAGAGTTACCATATGACATGGAAATCCTACTTTTAGGTATGTACCCAAGAGAACTGAAAAAATATGTATATAGAAAAACTTGTACACAGATGTTCATAGCAGCATCATTCATAATAGTAAAAAAATGAAAACAACTCAAATGTCCATCAACTAATAAATGGATATATAAAATGTAGTATATCCATACAATGGAATACTATTCAGCCATACAGAAAGAATAAGACACAGATACATGTTACATCATGGTTGAATCTTGAAAACATGCTAAGTGAAAGAAGCTCGTCATAAAAGACCATTTTTCTATTAATATGACTCTACATGATTCTATTTACATGAAATGTTCAGCATACATACATGTACAGTCACAGAAAGTAGATTAGTAGACGCCCAGGGCTGGAGAAAAGGGGGCCAGTGGCAGAATTGAGGGGTGATATCTGAAAGGCACAGGGCTTATTTTGGGAGTGAAGAAATTCATCTAAAATGGATTGTGTAATGGTTGCACAACTTGCTGAATATACTAAAACCACTGAATTGTACATTTTAAATGAGTGAATTATATAGTGTGTAAAATACCTCAATAAAGCTGTTACCAAAAAAAAGGTTAAAGTCAGTCCCAAGAGCTACAAAAAAGAGACTTTCTTTTTCATAAAAGTGTATTCTTCAAAAAGAATTTCTAACTGATTAATCTTTAAATCCAGTGTATAATTTCTGTTTATCGGTTTATCATTCTACTCATTAGTCTCTAAATCATCACACCCATATTTCCAAGCTCTGTACTATCCATCCCAACCAGGAGATCCCACAGGCATCTCAAACTCAGCATGTGCAAAACTGACCGCATTATCCCTCATCATGATAATGGCATCACTTCCTGCCTAGCCACCCCAGTATACATGGGGCATGATCTAAGGATGCAACTAGTCCACAGGCATATTGGCAAGAATGTCACTGAAGTGGAGTGTTGAATACCTCATCATGGCCATTAATTCTTTTTGCTATAATTTCTTATTCACTAAACAAGTCCTTGATTAAAATTTTATCTTTCACATAGACTTCATTTAAGGAAAAATACCTACTTCCCAATAGATGGGGATAATTTAGCCCATTAATAAATACAGTTCTTAAATTTAGAGACTGGAATTGTAACAGGGTACCAGAACCCTTTTTAGGCCAAGATACAAGAAGCACAAATCATAAAAGAAAAGCATGAATAAACTGATTTTTATCAAAATTTAAGTTTGCTCTTTGAAAGACACCGTCATGAAATTGAAGGGGCAGTCACAGACAGGGAGAGCAAATGATATATCTGATAAAAGACTGGATTAACGCATAACTCCTACAGCTCAATAACAAAAAGACAAAATGACACAATAGAAAAATGGGTGAAGGATGTAAACTGATACCTCATATAAGAAGATATACAAATAGCCAAAAACATATTATAAGATGCCCCACATCAAGGAAATGCAAATAAAATCCATAATGAGATGCACTATACATCTACTAGAATGGTTAAAATTTTAAAAACTAGTAACAAGTGTTGGTGAGGATCTAGAAAACTGTAACTCAATTATTGTTAGTGATGGGAAATAGTACAGCTACTTTAGAAAATAATCTGGCATTTTCTTCAACAGTTAAACGTACACTGACCCAGCCTAGCAATTTCACTTCTAGTTTTTTACCCGACAGAAGTGAAAACATATGGTTACAAAATGACTTATACCCAAATAGCCATGACACATTATGCTTAAAGGTAAAAAAAGAATATGAAGCAACTAAAATATTTATCAATGAGTAAATGGATAAATAAATTGTAGTACTCCCACAAAATGGAATGTTATTCATGAATCAAAAGTAATGAACTTTTACATGCAATAGTAGGGGTGAATTTTTATACAAATGCTCTTTGCTAAGTGAAAGAAGCTAAACACAAAAAGGGTATACACTGTATGATTCTATTTACATAAAACCTAGAAAAGACAGATCTAATCTATGAAGATAGAAAGCAGATCAGTGGCTGTCAGGGGCTGGAAATGGGGGCTGGGAGGGAGGTGCAGTTGCTGGAAAGAAGTAAGAAGGGAAATCTTGTGTTTATGAAAATATTCTATATCTTAATTGTGGTGGTGGTGGCTACACAACTGTATCCATTTGCCAAAATTTATAGAACTATACTTAAAATGGATACACTTTATGTAAATACAGCTCAATCGAGTTGATTTTTTAAATTTAAATATTTATGTAAATAAACTCAATCAAGTTGACTTTTTAAAAAAATTATACTTCTAGGAATCTACCCTATGTAAATAATCTGAAATGTGAACAAAGGTTAATAATCAAGGATGTTATTTATAACAAAAAATGGAGGAGAGGAGAGGGTAACAGCTCAGTGGTAGAAGGCATGCTTAGCATGCATGAGGTCCTGGGCTCAATCCCCAGTACCTCCATTTAAAAAAAAAAAAGAAAGAAAGAAAGCATTTTAACAATAAAAACTGAAAACATCCTGTATAGAAAGTAACTATAGAAAGTTAGATAAATTATGACAAATCCTTTCAATGGAATATGATAATCGTAAGGGTATTATAAGGTATACTAAAAAATCTAGACATTTATGTCATGTTAAGTGCAAAGAAACAGGATTCACAAATTAAATATGTAGTATATTTTAGCAACACAAAAACAAGCATTATTTTAAGAAATATGAAAGCAAAAGGTAATACAGCAAAAATATTAAAAATGGTTATGATTTTTCTAATTTTTTAACCTTTAAAATATTTTAATAGGAATATATTTATCCTTATAATGAAGAAAACAAAAAGGAGGAAACCTTTAGAAATGTTTACTATTGAAAAATAAGCTATAAATTCAGTAACTGCTGCATGTTGTAAGATTAGAACCCTCTGGTCCACAGTAATAAGTATTAGAAAATGGTCATGAGTTGGTGACAATGTGTCAATATATCTACAGAAATGCCTGAGAAAGACAGTATTCTGATGACAGCGACAAACACCGATTATCTACAGTAGAACTATCACATCCCCAGACTGGGGAGAGAAAGCAGTATTTCATTGATGTAAGTATCCTTTTGACAGTATTTAATTCCCTATTTCTGAGACACCAAGAAATTTCTAAGCTCTAATTTGTCTCCTGAGCGGGCCTACTTGGGAGGAAAAGGGTGCCTGGTTAGAGACGGCAGCCCAAATAACAGAGATTGGTCTGTGAACCACTGAGAACGGGCGGTCAGCCTGATATTTGCACCTGCACTCTTTTATCAGAGCGAGACAGTAATACAGAGATAACTCAGCTTGCTGAATCTGTAACATCAGACTGATGAACCCACAAAGCTGGGGACCATATACTCTTCTATTACAATTATGGCATAATATGAATGAGCAGGCAAAAGCTGCAAAAATTCTCCCAACACCATTGCTTTATTAATAATAGCAGAGATTGAGACAGGCTTTTGGTTCATGCCGATTATACCCTGAGCCTCCATGGTGTGGATTTTTGAATGCTGTATGGGGGGCCCTGGAAAGTTCATACTCACCAATGCTTTGTCCATCATCCCAGAACAGCTGACCTTCAGCTCTCCCATTGGTGTCCAAAGCGACAATCAATCCCATAAACTGTTGTCGACTACGAAAAAAGAGTTATTTTTCTCTAGATTGTAGGTTGTAAGAATGAAGGAGAGCTTCTGTTGAAAATACTACTCATCCAGAAAAAAAGCAAATGCATTAAAAATGAACATAAAGTTCTAAAAATGGGTAAAATGAGATCAAATACAAGATACTTAAAAGCTAACAGAATAAAACACCTACATTTTAATGAAATATTTGATATAACTTCAACTTTCAAAAATCAAATACATGTAATTTACTTATATACATATTATAGGTAATATAAGAAGTTACTTCTTTAGGAAGAGGCACTCCCCCCACCGAAAGTAACCCTTTAGTAGCTTCCAGATTGCTACGGAATAAAATGCAGTGTATTTATCCTGACATTCACAATCCTGCATGGCCTGAAGCTAATCTGTTTGAATTGTATTTATTTCAGCCTCTCCCTTATCAGTGCTCCAGTTAAACTGAATGGTTTACTATTCCCCAAATCCAATTCATTATTCACCTTTTGTTCTTTAATCCTCCCAAAATATCTCTTTCTCTTGTCTTCAAACATTCCAGTTCTATTTTTTATTCGAGACTCAGCTCAGAGCCCTCTTTCTCATGAAACAACGATTTACATCACAAGGTTGAAAATTAACTTCTCTCCTTTTGATTTGGTTCTTGTGGTGGTGTCTCTCCTAATAGAACATGTACTCTTTAATGTAATATGTATGTGTGTGTTTATGTGTGTGTGTGTGCATATGTATATTTACATGTATGTAACCTTTGAGTTCACCAAAGTTGACCTGGGAATGAGCACTAAAACCCTGGGAAGACATCACAAACCAAAGACCTTATTAATATTCTTAATTTTTAAAACAATATGGGAAGAGGTATGTGCTGCTACCCTCCAGAAAACTTTAACCCAGATCTTTGATAAGGAGCTACAGATAAAAGATCTCCCCAAGACTGACTTCATGCACTCACTCTCCCCCAGATCTCACGTGGAAGGTACTCAGAGAAACAGATCGGTGAAACTGAACACATTTACTGATTTAGCCCCAGAGCCTCAGTAGAGATGGGCCGCTTCCTATAAGGCTGCATCATGATGGCAAAGTGAGGCCATCAAACCCGGCCCCTCTTCCTTACCTGGACTGAGTGTTCGTTGCAGGCTCCTGCCAAGGCAGAATGTAGCCTCCTCGGATATGCAGGTTGATATGGTCAAGGGGAGCCTCCAGGATTTTCCACTCACCTGTCGATTCACTGCCAGATTCCTAGAAGGGAGGATATAGGCAAGGAATGATGACCAAAAGATTGATAAAATGAATGCATGCTTTATTACAAGTCTCTCCTTTCTAAAGAAGTGTGTTGGAAAGTCACCGAAATACTGCAAATCTAAGGAGAAAACCTCTGATTTTCAGCTTTGCTAACAACTCTGAAAATCTAGTCTTTTCTCTGTATTCTCCAAAAAATGGGGGTTGGAGACAAGTCAATGTAACACGGGTGTCAGATTTTACCTATTTATGCTTTTATGGACATTTTATTTAAGAAAATCTTGCATGGCTGAAAGACTGAAAAGTATTGCCTTAGAAAATGAACCCCTGGAAGTCAGGAGAAAGTTCCAGCCACCTATCACGCCTGCACAGACCAACCTGGTTCTTCACAAAATATATTAACTCTTACCGTGCTATAGTCATACCAACGGGCTCTGGGAAAATAAGCATGGATCTGAAAAGTGTTCTGCAATATAAAATCAACACATCATTATGGCTATTCCAATTATTTAATTTTAATTTTATAATTCTTTCGGTAGAATTAAGATTAAAAAGAATTTTATTAATGATTTTAAGAGTTATAAAAGTTTTATTGAGAAAGATCCTGGGAAATTCTTCTTTAAACACACAGAAAAATAAAAAAAATTTAAAGGTAGATTTTGTAAGGATGCAAGGTGACAAGACAGTAAAATGAGAAATCTATTGTGGTTGTAAAGTTTTCATTAATGGAGCCCTTTAAAAAAAAGGTAAAGATCTCCCTTAGACGTTCTAGAAACGCATTTGCCTGAAAGTAGTGGGCTGTACAAGATAATCTGTACAATGCCCTTCCTGCGCTTTAGATTATGCGATTGGGGGGTTTTTCATCTGTGATGGAAAACTCACACTTTCCAGCACAGGGCTGATTAAGATGGCAGGACCCAGCATGAACTGACGGTCTATATCCCATGTTGTGTCGTCCTTTGTAAACCTTAAAAAATAAACATGAAAATCCACTCATACTGTTATGAGAGTGGCAGAGGGTCATTCACAAGACCATCCAAGACCTGCTGCCTGGGGAAACAGGCTGTACTCACTCATGGAGAAGGGGTTGGACTACGGTGGCGCCCTCAACGTGAGCCTTATGCATCAGAGTATAGAGGTAAGGCAGCAGGGTGTATCTGGTCCGGAGGGCTTTTCTTGAGAACATCTCAAAGGTTGAGTTCCAGGCCACAGGATCTTGTCTCTGAAAGGATAAAGGAGCATATGAAAGATCACTTCCTCTTTACTCCATCAGTGGTATCAGAAAAGGACCAGCAGGCACATATCCCATATGTAGGTTACACACTCTTCTTTAATTTCTAACCTTCCCTTTCCCTACAGCTGCCATCTTACTAAACATCTTGCTTCCTCCTCTTGACCATGGACTCCGCAGTACCTGCACAGGTCCAGCCTTGGCCCACACGTGTGTACAGCAATGAGTCTCACTTCATAACTTGAATAGATTTAGATACAGTACCAATCCATTGTTCTTAGAAGCAAGGGGAGCCTCTTTTACGTCAGCCCCTGAGGGAGCCATAAACACTTCTCTCCTCAGAGGCATTAATCGCCCAAGAGATGAGAAGTATATTCTTGAACACTGTTGATAATTCTGGAGTTTTGAACTCTGTGGGTTTTCCAAGAAATAGAGTTGCTGGTGATTTTTATAATTTTTCTCAATAAGTATGAGGCTTTTGAGGATGAAAAGGAAGTTGTGATGTGAAGACACAAAAATTCTGCAGTGGAACCTGCTTCTCACCCTTGTCCCGAACGTGTTGTGGTTCCTGGAGAATGGATAAAACGCCCCCAGCTGCATCCAGCGAACACACATCTCATATTCAGCCTCTCCAAAGAAGCCGCAAATGTTTGCTCCTGTCTGAGAAGACGCAAAACCAGAGCATGAGGTGGGACTTTTGTGGGTGGCAGACGCACTGAAATCAGCCTGGGTAATTGGTAATGGCCCCCTGTAGGACTTACATAAGGTATTCCAAAGAGACTGAACTCCATCATGCCTGCAATGAAAAGATACAGCCGTGTTGGACTAAGAGCGGCCCCTCGGAAGGGTAGGTTTGACCTGTCTCTTCTGCACGCTCAGCATTTGAAAGCTCTGAGCTGCTCATGATGAAAAGACCGAAAGATGGGTGCAGAATAAAACCCATACCCACAGAGAACTCAGCTTCTGTTGATTTTCCCGACCATCGGGATGATGATTAGACGTAACCAGCGATGCTGAAGAGCACACAGTCCAATCCCCTCCCCTCCAGGAGGGGCCCCTGGGAACAAGCCCACGCACCGATGATAGATTTCCTCAGCTGGTCCCACGCAGCCGTGTTGTCTCCCAGCCAGTGTCCTCCCCAGCGGCCAGAAGAGGGGAACGTGGAGCGAGTGATGACGATCCCTCGCTGTCCTGTCACCTCCTGCACAGCTCTGCTCAGAGGGGAACAGGGAGGTGAGCTGAAGGTGAATTTGAGGATGGACAAGTCATGGAACTTTATCACAGAGTAGCTTCAGCCTGGACCGTGGGGCAGCAGTGGCGCTCCATTCTGAGCCAGAGAGCTTCTTCCCTGAGAACATCTACTGTTTATAAAAGTGATGCCAAGAGTCCCAAAGAACTTCCCAGCAGAACAGCTGGAGAGACAGCATCACCTAAAATGTCGATGTCCCTTCTTTAAACAAAAAAGTCTAGTAAATTAGCTGAATAGGCAGAGGTAGGAGGAGGGGTGGGGTGGGGTGGAGGACCGATATTTATAGAACAATGACTCCATCCGAGGTATTACACTGGTCACGTTCATGTGCGCTATCTCACAACCTTGGCCTCCTTTTACTGTCAGGAAACTGAGCTTCAAAGAAGACAGATAATTTGTCAGTCATTTAAAGAGCAAGAGGCAGATCTGGGATCCAAATAAAAGTATATAGGACCACAGCGCTTTTTGGTAATAAGCACTCTATTAGGCTACTCCTGAAAAAGTAGGATAAATTTTGCACCCCGGGGCAGATACACATAAAAGATGTTTAAATATCTCTCGATGGAAGATTAATCTTCTGCTCGCAGCTGCAGCCAGAAAATAAAAACAATGTGAGAGAAAAATCAGTGGAACAGAAGAGAAAATCTACTGACAGATGCTAGTATAAGTATATGATATAATCCAAATATTTGCTAAAGAAAGCATCACAAATCAATAGGCAGAGATAAATTATTCAATAAAGGACGTCAGGAAAAGAAGCTGGCTCTGGAAATGAATCCCTTTAGGTCACTTCCCATATTTCACACTGAAATACATCCCAAAATAGATGGAGATGCAAACACACACTAGTCTCGAGTGAGAGGTAATGAAGGCCTGAAATAAAGCAAGGGGTAAGGATGGATGTGAGTGATACAAAAAAGCTTTGTTACTGACCATGTCAGAACTCCAGACATTTACCAGCCATAGAAAGGAATGCAAATTGTCTATTCAAGAAAAGATACTAAATCTTGGTAAGATAGTGAGGTCTCTGGAATTTTAACGTGAAGCACGTCCCAGCCCACTGCATTCCTAGTTCACTGGCATCAGAAGTCAGCAGCCTTGTAGCAACCAGAGTTCTGACCTTTTGGAGAGCTCTGTTAAAAACACTATCCCCAGAACACAATAAATACTTGTTTCTAACTTCCAGTCGTCAGGAAAAAGTCTCTATTGCAAGAGGGTTATGGCCACTTGATTTGACTCAGAGCTCAATTCAGCAAGGAGAAAAAATCCCCCCCCCCCCCGGAAATTACCAAAACCAGGACAGCTTTCTGGCAGCATCGTAGGTGCTCAGTCTGAGGCAAAGAAAAGTGTGGCTGGGAATTTAAAAGTAAATCCTGGAAAACTGGAGCCTTAGAGACTTTTGAAAACCCCCCACATATTCCTGGGGAGCTAAGAGAGGGCACCTGCCCAAGGCTGTGCGCCAAGTCCCGAAAGGAACCGTGAAGGGAGGTTCCCTGACCCACTTCGGGCCGAACCGGAGCCCCTGAGTGAGCAGGAAGTGAAAGGCCAGGCTGTCTCCCAAACTGCCTGAAGTGTGAAGGCTGCCTTCTCGTGTGTATCCCCTTGGCAGAGGGTAAAAGACGGAGAAGAAGGCATTCAAGGTGCCCAACCGAGATGGCCTTCGTGTTGCCCTCGGCTTGACGAAACTTTAGGCTGGGTTCCTCCCACTCCAGGACCCTGACCTCCCTTTTCTTAGAGCATTTACTTTAGATACATTGAACTGTAAATTCTTTCTCTACTTCCTTGAGATGTAAATCTTTTTAAAAGCCTCTTGACAGACTGGTTTTCTAGCCTTAGAATGTCTTTGTCAGGAACCTGGGAGCCTTCCCTTTGAAATGTAATCAGCAAGGAAGACAGTGCCCGGATCCTGAGACTCTGCAGGAGGCTGGGAGCCTAACTTCAGCAGGGTCTCCTTGCTTGAAGTAGTAAAACTATCTCCTGCCAAGTAAGATAAGAAAAGTTTACTTTTCCGCTGAGTAAGGCCAACTAGCAAAGGCCTACAAACTCCCTACCCAGCTCTCAAAAACTCTGCAGACCTTTGTTTCAGTGGAGTTGAGCTCAGACCAAGTTCTGGTCTCTCTCTCTTACTATAATAGCCTTAATAAAGTCTCCCTTGCCTGTTTAACTCTGTCCAGTGTAAGTTTTGTTTTGACAAATGAAATCTTCTGACTGATCACTAGCTGACCACTGAATTGTACTGATCCAGGGTGTCCCCAAGGAAGTCAGGCTTAAAAATGAAAAAAAGTCTAAAAAGGAGGACGTGGGGAGATACCAGAGAACTCAGTGGCCACACACGCCAAGAGAATATAGAATCTACAGAATGAGAGAGAAGTTGCTAAACAAATAAGGAACAAAAACTAAAACAACAAAAATTGTAAAACAAAAACGCCATGAAAAGAAACATGGAAGTATGACACATACACAGGAAAAAAAGCTGCCAACAGACAATGAACTTTAAATCAGATATTATAAATATGTTCGAAGAACTAAAGAAAAGCATATCTAAACAATGAAAAGTATGACAATGATGTCTCACTAAACAGAGACAATCAATAGAAATAGAACTTATTGGGAAAAAAGAAAAAGAAATTCTAGAGTTGACAATACCAAAAAAATAAATAAAAAACAACCTAATAAAAAAATGGCCAGATCTAAACAGACATCTCTCCAAAGAAGACATACAGATGGCCAACAGGCACATGAAAAGATGTTCAACATCACTAATTATTCAAGAAATGCAACTCAAAACTACAATGAGGTTATCACCTAACATCAGTCAGAATGGCCATCACCAAAAAGTCTACAAATAATAAATGCTGGAGAGGGTGTGGAGAAAAAGGAACCCTCCTACACTGTTGGTGGGAATGCAAATTGGTGCAGCCACTATGGAGGACAGTATGGATTTCCTTTAATAACTAAAAATAAATATGAAAACGAATATATGTATGTATATGCATGACTGGGACATTGTGTACAACATTTCCTGTTGTACACCAGAAATTGACACATTGTAACTGACTGTACTTCAATTAAAAAAAGAAAAGAAAAGTAAGGAGTGAAAAAACCTAAAAATAGACTTACCATGTGATCTAGCAATTCTTCTTCTGGGCATATATCCAGAGAAAACTCTAATTTGAAAAGAGTCATGCACCCGCATGTTCATAGGAGCACTTTTTACAATAGCCAAGATGTGGAAGCAACCTAAGTGTCTACTGACAGATGAATAAAGAAAATGTGGTATATATGTACCATGGAATACTACTTAGCCATGAAAAGAAATGAAATAATGTCATTTGCAGCAACATGGATGGACCTAGGGATTATCATACTGAGTAAAGTAAGTCAGACAGAGAAAAACAGTTATCATATGATACCACTTATATGTGGAATCTAGAAAAACGATGCAAATGAACTTATTTACAAAACAGAAAGAGACTCACAGACATAGAAAACAAACTTATGGTTACCAGGGGGGAAAGAGGGAAGGGAAGGATAAATTGAGAGTTTGGGGTTAGCAGATCCAAACTACTATGTACAGAATAAACAACAAGGTCTTACTGTATAGCACAGAGAACTATATTCAATATCTTGTAATAACCTATAATGGAAAAGAATCTAAAAAAGAATATATATGAATGTACATATTCAATGGCTTGTAGTAACCTGTGATGAAAAAGAATATGAAAGAATATATATATGTATAACTGAATCACAATGTTGTACACCAGAAACTAACAAAATATTATAAATCAATTATACGTCAATAAAAAAAGGAAAAAAATAAAAAATATTTTATTGCTAAAAAATGCTAGCCACCAAAAAGAAAAGAAAAGAAAAGAAAAAATCTGGAGTTGAAAAATACAATAACTAAGCTTAAAAATTCACTAGAGGGACCAAACTCAACAGGTGATCTGAGCTAGCAAAAGAAAGAGTCAGTAAACTCGAAGACAGGTTGATAAATATGATCCAGTCTGAATAACAGAAAGAAAAAAGAATGAAGAAAAGTAAACAGAACCCCAGAGGCTTGTGGGACACCACCACACGTACTAACATACACATAAATAGAATCTTACGAATAAAGAAAAAGAAATGGGCAGAAAAATATTTGAAAAATAATAGCAAAAAACTTATAAAACTATAAAATGTTGCTGAGAGAAAATAAAGGACACCTCAAGACATGGAAAGACATCCCATGTTAATGGATCAGAAGACTTGATACTGTTAAGATGGCAACACTGCCCAGATTTCTCAACGGATTCAGTGCCATCCCTACCAAGACCCTGGTACTATTTTTCAGAAATTGACAAGCTGATTCTAAAATTCATATCAAATGAAAGGGATGCAGACTAGACAATCTTAAATAAGAAGAACGTAGTAGGGCACACATTCTATGATCCCACTTTTATGAAGTGTGCAGACCAGGCAAACCATGGAGACAGAAAGCAGGTCAGTGGTTGCCGGTGCTCAGGAGGTGGGGACAGGGTAGGGAGTGACTGCTAATGGTCTCCTTTGGTGATGACGAAAAATGTTCTAAAATTTGATTGTAGCGATGGCTGCACAAATCTATGAAGATACTGAACACAATCTACTGCGCACTTTATTATTTTTATTGAAGTATAGTTGACATCCAACATCCTGTAAATTTACGGTGGAACTGCAGTACATTAGTCATTGCAGCGATACACAGCACCTGCTCACTTGAAACGGGTGATGTCAGCGACCTACCGGATTCATACACCTAAAGGTATTTTGGTTGCTTGGGCAGCCATGCCTGATATTCTGCCCGACATCATGGAGGTACAACTCTATGTGTACATATGACAAGGAGAAAGTAACAACGTGGAAAATGATCTAGCCGCCAGTGACAAAAACACTCACTCGTACGTGGGTCTGGTCTGGGCCCAGCCGTACAGGCTGTGCACGTCGTAGTGCCGCACCGGGGAGCCGTCAGGCAGGATCTGCTGGCTCTCCATGCACAGGGTCTTGCTGTTCAGGCCCCCGTCCCTGGACTCCAAATCTGGGAGGAAATGCTGAGTTACTTCTTGAAAATCACTAGAAATGCCCCCCATCTTGGCATTTCTTTGTTTCAATCAACAACCTTGTTATCGGTAACGGCTCCAGTGTCATGAATTCACAAAATCAGTGCCCTGTGGCTTTATGATCAATGAAGGGTAAGGGCAGGGTATGCAGCTGAGAAAGGCACCCTTCCTGTTCCATCTCTAACATTCCGGGAGCGCTGGCCCGGCCCATCCGCGACGCGATGAACTCCTTTGTTGTTATGACTGTTTCTTCCACGAGGTGGTGATCTTCTCAAGGGAATGAGTCTCATTTCAGTCACTATATTAATGTTGCTAAATCTTTCTAATTTGTCAGCACTTGCCTGACACACAATCATTAAATTAAGGAAGGAAGGGACGAGGAGGAGAGAGAGAGGGAGGGAGGGAGTGACCTACACACCAAGAAACTTGGATTCCATTTTCCATCCCACGGAGCTCTGGTCTAGGGCCTTTAAGAAACGGAGTCACAAGTCACTTCTTTCCCTAGATTTCTGTAAGGTGAGAGCTCAACTTTCTAAGAAGCCTTTGAACCCAAGGTCTCATGATTTTCTGCTTCTTGTACCACAGGGCAACCAGGGGATGTCTTTCATGAAGCGGCTGTGAACATGGGCAGAAAGAGTGCAGGGCCCAGCTTTCCATCCTCTAATCATGTTTGGTGTGTGTGTGGGGTGTGTATGTGTGGTGAGTGTGTGATGTGTGTGTGTGTATGTGCTGTGCATGCGTGTGTGTGGTATGTTGTGATATGTGTGTGGTGTGTTACATGGTGTGTATGTGTGTGGTGTGTGATGTGTGCGTGGTGTGTGATGTGTGTGTGTGGTGTGTGGTGTGTGTGATGTGTGTGTGTGGTGTGTGGTGTGTGTGATGTGTGTGTGTGGTGTGTGTGATGTGTGTGTGTGGTGTGTGTGATGTGTGTATGGTGTATGTGGGGTGTGTGATGTGTGTGTGTGGTGTATGTGTGGTGTGTGTGGTGTGTGATGTGTGTGGTGCATGAGATATGTGTGTGGTGTGTGATGTGTGTGTGTTGTGGGGGTGTAGCAGTCAGGCCGTAGCCACCACTGTAAGCAGATGCAAGGTACATTGCTTGGTTTCTTTCACACCACATCATGTCATTACTTCCATGCTTGATTTAGCTATTTTTTTTTTTTATTTTTCAAGGTTATTCTATTTGGGATTTTATGTCATGTTTTAGAGTGTTTTCTCTCTCCAAAATTAGGCTTCACTTTGACAATCAGAGGAAAAACTTGCAGGGGTTTTGAGCAGGAAAGCAGTTTGATGAGGTAATCATTTTACATACGTGGCATATAGGGAGGGTTATTGAGAGTCTCATCCCTGCAGCCGCTGACAGAGCCATTCACAAAGTTTGATGGTTCGTTCATATCCTGCAATGAGTTAGCAGAAAAGATGCCGCGGTGTCAGAGGCAGGATGGCCTTTGCCGCGATGACACTGACCTCACAGAGACGAGCGCTTCCTATCCAGGCCTTCGCCCCAGCTGGTCCCTTCACTGACCACTCAATCTCAGGCATCGACTCAGACTCCAAGAATTCATGTTGATTTAAGAAGAGTGTTGAACTCCTGGTTTACTTGGCATTTTTAAGCTTGTGGGGATTGTTACATCGTGGAAAAATATTGAAATTATACTGGAATCGTGACTGAAGAAAATCTCCTCTTGATTCACCTTCCCCCATAACAAGCCCATCTTCGTTTTTCTACATGTGGACGTCCCACTTTTTATCTGTGGCCCATGGTTCCTACGACCACCTTCCCCTACTCTCAGTCCGATGGCTCAGACTAACTCTGACATCAGCACAGACCCAGCACAAGGAAGAGCATCTTCCTTCCTGCAGGAGATGAAGTCCTATATGGTTGTTGGTAACTCAGAAACAAATCTGGCAATCACATACAACTCGCAGGGACTTATGGCCTAAATGCCATAAAGAGCAACCCGAGGTGAATGCTCATTGTCTACTTCATCCATGAAAAAGTTAAACCTCTGTATATTAGATTGTCTTAAATGGGACAGACGAAAAGGCAAAGGCAAGTGTTGGGGGAACTGTTGGCTATTTTGACTCATTCAGCACCAGCTTCCCACCAGTGGAGCAAACATCCCAAAGCTGTCGGGGTCTGTGTTCCTCAGAGCCACCCCATGTCGTCACTGTTCGCTATGGGTAAATCTGGGCCCTCTTGTTTGTGTGTCTGCTCTATGCCGAGCTGTCCTAAAGACGCGGGTGTCCAGGGAAACTGAGTGTGGCCTGGAGGTTTGTCTCTGGGTGAATCGGGCTTCTTGTAGCCTGGCCCAGGCTGGAGAAGCTCTTCAGGGCTGGCCCAGAATAATACGCCCAGGATCTCAGGCCTGTGCACAGCGGGGAGGACACTGAGACCCCCATACACCTCCCATCTCTAGAAAAACACAGGTCGAGGAGCCTTTGGGCATGTGTCCCAGAGACGTCTCAGGAAGCCCTGCTCTTAAGCTCCACCAACAAGCATCACAAGCGTGAAAGGGCCTTTGAAGCCACTTCCTCTGAGGAGTCCGGCCAGCACCACAGTGAACACGTGTTTCCTATGATTCACGCCTTGCCCACCCAGCTCTGCTCTGTAACACAGGACGGGCTCTTGGGCTCCCTTAGCATTGGCCTCTGTGTAGGTTTGGCCAGTAGGAAGCAAGAGGTTAGAGGGCAGAAGACAGGGTTTGTCCCTCTTTCTTTCTCTGGCAGAATCTCCAGCAGTGACGCCACTGCCTCTGTGGGCTCTAACTTCCACCAGGCAAGATGCCCCTGAGCAGCCCACGATCATCCCTGCTCCTCCCGGGGCTCCCAGCACCGCAACTCGGTCACAGCATCCACTCTTCCACTCCTCCAGCCCTGGCTCCCTGCCTTGCAGGTCTCTGAATCACTTCCCCATGCTTTGACTGCTCATATTTCCAAAGTAAAAGCTAAGGGTAACTTACAAGCCACAGTCCATCAAACTTCAAGCTCTTCTCCGGCTCTCGGGGGTTCACGTAGAGCTCCCCTATCTCCTTCTTCCACCACGCAGCCGTGCTGTTCCGCAAGAAGTCAGGAAAAGCCACGTGGGCTCTGTACAGCTGTAAGAGTGACACAGGCTCTCACGCTGGGTCTCAGCCTGTCCGGGAAGCGGGGCATGGGGGCCGGGAAGGGGAGGTGAGCAGGGACTCATGAAAGGCACGGTCCACCCGGTGTGTGCCCTAACCTCAGGTCTGCTGCGGTGGCTGCACCGAGCTTACGGTGGACACAGAGAGACCGGGGAAGGGGATTTCATCTTTCATTTTTCTAGAACATTAGATAGCCTTACGTCCCCTTCAAAGACGGGACTCATTGTATGACTGGGCATTTCATCTCATGAAGTGGACAATCAACTGTCAGTGTCGAAACAACCACACGTTTGAGTACAAATGCTTTCTCTACGCTGGCCAAAGGAAGGACATCGGTCCCCGGGGAAGAGTGAGTTGCAGTGTGGAGTGGAGGCTGGACGTCCAGGCTGATGGGGCGTCATCTGTTCGGATCAAGGCTATTACTCCTTTTAACTGGCTTAACGTTTTCTTTTATGTTAAGACAATTCATTAAAACCTAGTGTGTTCATCATCTCTCCAGTGAAAATATTCTAGACTTCGCCTCAATATTTTTCAAGCAATGTTAGATTCAAGTAAAACACAACAAGAGTACTTCATTTGTGAGTGTGTGTTGAGTTTTCCATTTGAGGATTTTTTTTCTGCAAAAATATTAATAGTTGACAAGTGCACTCAACTTAGAGCAATTTTACCAAACAACAAGATAAAACTCAGAAGTATCCAGATGTTCAGGGTGATGTGGACAAAAATCTGTGGGTAACTATACCTTAACTTGAGTTTCTTGGTCAAGGGATCCACTCACATTCACATTGGGCAGATCTGGCCAAACCTAGAGAAAAAGGAGAAAAATTAAAACCCTTCAAAGGCAGTGCACTCAGACCATGAGATGTTTCACATGCTTCTCCATGAATTCTTGGGGATATTTGTCATTAATTACATTGTAAGGTCTGAATATATGAAATTCTGTTAGGTGAGAATAGGCTGGGGTCTCGAGACTCATTCCGTGAATTTTCAAAATTTTATTTTTTGGAAGTAATGATTAATTCATTTCAAACATATCCTCTGTGCAGTCACCTCGCAAATGATTATTCCGTTCTCGTTGCTATGCCTGCCAGCATATTTCCCCTTATAAAACACAAATGCTAAGTGTGACTAGAAAGGAATACAACTGATTTCCATTCACAAGCCATAAACTTAGCCTCAATACTTTCAAGCAGCATCATGACTTATTGGGGATCCCAAGTATATGCAGCATTCAAAAACCCATAGTATCAAGCAACTTCATCTATCATTTGAAGGACATTAACTGTAGACATCAATTAATTCTCCCATTCAGCAAACACTGAGTGAGCATTTACTGTATGCCAGGCACTTATCTACGATCTGCATCTGCTGGGATTTAAGTAAGAAACAGTTCTCATTTTGTACGAGTTCACAGATGGAACATAAGTGCTAAGTTGTATGCCTTCTTCTCTGAGGGCAACAATATGGAAAAGAGAGAAAGAGGGAGAATTCCAAAGAGGGAATATGTATGTTGGTCTTGAAGTGCAGATATTATCTGGGGGAGCTCAGGAGGTAACATTCAAAGGCACCATGAGGTGGGTAGGGAAATAACTCAGTGGTAGAGCATGTGCTTAGCATGCGCAAGGTTGCAGGTTCAATCCCCAGTACCTCCATTAAAAACAAAAACGAAACTCAAAAAACAAAACAACAGAGGCACTGTGAGCACAGCACATACCCAGAGCAATAGGTAGTAACATAGAATAATTACAGAGCAGTTTGGATCATGGCCAAGAGCCACCACCATCTGGAAGTCAGGAAGTTCACCTAAAATCTTGTTGCTATGAATCCAACAATGAGGATGAGGACTGGAGCCACAAAAAGGAATTAAAGAAGATAAGACAAGGAGAATACTCTATAGCACTTAGAAATTTATTTAGACATGGAGGCTAATGAAGCATCATGGGTCAGAGATGAGTGTGGGTGACTAGGAGACACAGATTTCAGAGCCATTCTCAAAGGGATTCTTTATTTGTTAAACAACCAGCTGGAATCCATAAGGGGAGGGACATCAGGACATTTCCAGGCAATAAAACAAAGCTCACTGGTATTTTAGAAGATTAGACCTGGAACCCGGGTTGTCTTCATGTTTACTGAGCTAATCAGACTCAGACAGGTTTCTACTCATCCATAATGTATAAATGACCCAATCTATTTGCCAAGATTTAATAAGAGCCTCTTTTGGTCAAGACATGGTGATGCTAACTAACTACAGGCATCTTCTCCCAAGCCTTACCTTTCCCCAGACAATGTCACTGTTGTCTGGCCATTTGATGAACACGTTGTTCTCCTGCCCCCTGGTGAATGGGAGGTACTGGGTCTCGTTGCCAGAAATGGCTGGGTCCTACAACGAAAGGGTTGAAACAGCAAACATGAGGAAAGCATCCCCAAGAAAATTCCTCTCCAAAATCTTAACAATTGACAGTGCAGAAAGAAATGGTGCACCTCAACACCACACACACACACACACACACACACACACACACACACACACACCCCATGGACAATCGGGAGGTAAAAGAATATATTGAGGTTTCTTTATAATACTCTTGAGGAAAAGAGTATGCCAATGTTTGAAGATAACTCCCAGGGATAAATCAGGTTAATAAGACATTATCCTCAAGTGGAGAAAGTCAATTTATTGGGTTTCCACAGTGTAAAGCAGTATTCCTTAAGAACATGAAACTTCTCTCTTCTGTTCTGTGGCCCAACTTATGCATCTAAAGGGGCCTTCCTGTTCACTCCACCCCACACCTGCCCCAGCTACTCTCCATAAAAGTATCCTATTTCACTAAATAGGATCGTCTAAGTCATCACTATCTTTCCAAAACTTTTTTAATGTTTATTTATTGGCTGTCTCTTTCCAACAGGATAAAATCCATGTAAGAAAAAGAACGTCATCTTATTGATTTATTAGATTATAAACACACACATCTTTTAGAACAGCGATTTTCAAAGACCCAGTATTTAATTAATACTTGAATGAATGAATGAATGAATGAACAAAAGTCAACAAACAATGCTGTAATTTTTGGAAGCTAGAAGGAAGGATCATTTGCAGGTAACTACTTCTGTGTTTATCAAGATGCAGCTTCCAATGTGAAACAGTAAATTGGTATTCTGGATCTGAACTCAGTTGTTTGGGAGTTTAATTAAGAAATGAGCCCGGACCCTAAGCCTCACCACTGCTGAGTAAGGGTAATGGTAACTTGAGAGGTTTTTGAACCCCCTAAGGTAAACATGAGACTAAGATACAGCTATTCCCTGTAAGGCACAGCCTGAAACAGTGAGATTTGTGCGTGTGCATGTGTGTGTGTGTATGCGTGTGGCAATACTTAGTGTTTCAGTCCATAGTTCTTCTGACTCTATCAAAAGAACAGTAATAATAAATTACATCCCAGTCACACTCAGTTATAAAAAATAAATATTACAGTGTGTCTTTACAAGCCGTTTATTCATTTGTTCTTTCTCCCTGTTTATCTTATTTTTAACGCTTTTAAAAAAATTATAGATTGATAGGAAGATGCAAAAAATGTTCAGGGAGGTCTCATGTACTGTTCAGCCAGTTTCCCTCGATGATACTGTTTTTGAACCATGAATACAGAAACAGAAAACGAGATCTAATCTTTCTAAAAACCTACCAGAATGAGAATAAATCTCATGCCATTTTTCTTCATTTGTTCAATCAGGAGGCCGAGATTTTGAAAGCTGGAGCTGAGGGTGAAGTCCAGCTTCCGGTGCATGTAATCGATGTCTACATGCTGGACGTCCTGCCAGAGGAAGCAAGCAAGATGCTGGGGACCCTGTGGCCGGAACTCCCCAGGACATGCGACCTGCTCTGCCAGGCTCCAGGTCCTGCTACTTGCTGACCCCAGCCCAGGTCCGTCTTAATTCCTTACCTCAGCACTCCCCTACACTGACATTTCAATTCTGCTGATTGAAATTGCTGATTCCTACATCCAGTTCACCTGACCTCATTCCTTCTCTTTCTGTTGCTCCAAGAGGAACTCTCCCCCTTCCTTCCTTCAATTTATGTCTTTCCCACTCTTCACACCTCAAACTCGGTGAGCCTATCAAACCATGTGCTGTTGAATGTTCAAGGGTAAAAGGCAAGACTTGCCTGAGAAACAGAAAAGGCGGTATACTTGTTTTTCTTCCCCCTCCAGTAAACCTGACTGCATTTATTCACGCTTAGAACTACATTATTTTATGGCTTTCTAGAACGTGTGTATTTCTTCCATTCCCATTTGACTGGATAAACCTCTAGATGAGAACCTTGCCTTCCCTTTTCTCTATAAAGTACCAATCCAGCTTTCTGCACATGAAGTTCCCTCAATCCATGATTGTTGAACGGTGGTTAATATTTAGTTGAAAAAAGAGATGCTTCTTTTTAGCTTGAAGGTGATAATCACCTGTATTGCCTTAAGACTCTGGGAGCAACTTGTTTGAGGGAGCAGAGAGATCTGTGCATGAGCCAAAGTTTGAAAAAGAATGGACCGACACATTATTCACAGCATTTGCCTTGGTAAGGTAGATCTATGGATTTTTTCATCTTTTAATTTCCTTATCTTCTTCTAACTTATGTTTAATAGGTATCTGGTATAGTGGTATATAAAAAGAAAAAAAATTAAGCCTGGATGAAGGTTTCAAATTATCTTTGATGAGAACATCATAACACTTTACTTTATTTTCGTTTTCCAATCATTAATTGCCCTTCAAAAATCTCAGGAGGAGAACTGAAAGCAGAGAGAGAGAATGAGTGGTGAGAAGTTGATCATTAAAAAAGAGAGAGCATGTTATTTATGAAATTCTGCTTGTTGAGAGCAACGGACTGCACCTCCAGGGGACAGATTGTCATTGTAGGATACGCTTTTCTGTATATGTGTGTTTAAGAGAAAGTGAAGGCTTGGTTTTAACTGCTTTCTTTCATTCTGTCACTTTATATTCATCCTCTCCGAGAACAGCCACAGTACAATTTCCTAAAATGGCCATAATCAGGAAATGATTTGCACCTAGAAGTCCCAGCACCATGGCTTAAAGCCCAGCCATGGCCACTGCGGGATACTCCTGGCGAGAAGCAGTAACAGTATTTCCCAGTCACACTGCAAACTGCTCAAGGATTTACGTGACTCTCAATTTTGAGCACTTGATTGAAAAGGACAGCATGAAATAAATTTAACAAGCAATGTTTCCTAGCATCACAGCTACATTTTCTTGATACTGAAGTAGCCATCAGTAATTTCTATGGAGATATTTCAATCAATAATTAGCCACATATTCCCATAACTAATTAAACCACAGACTGAGTGAGGGTTTCATACGTAGGGAATCTGAGCTGCCACCATGGCATCATACAAACTGGAGATTTCGGCATCGTTCTGGTATCCATAGCGACTCAGCTGGAATCCCAAGGCCCAGTACGGAATCATTGCTGGCCGACCAATCAACTAGAATAAAGAAGAAAAATGGATCCAAGTAGACTTCTTAGGGAAGAAAAGATGGTTACCCTATACTTGAAGTAACTGGAGCATTTCTACAGAGTACTGTCTGATCTAAGAGGCTTCGCTCAAGAAAAGCAAGAAATTCAAACAAATATGGACTAGCCATAGGGATGCAGAGTGATAGACAGTCTCCCCATGTTCTAGAACATCCACTTTAGAAGACCTGAGAACTCAGTGGTTACTATTGTTTAGAGAGTCTTAGAAAGGGCACTCAGCAAATAGCTGAGAAATATGGGATATCAGTATGCCTTTCTAGCCCCTTACCACTTAACCCTGACTTTCAGAAAAGACAAACACAATGTTACAGGGACACCCAAGGGCCTTAAGAAAAAAAATGGCCTTTCTCAGTGCTAAGCACATGGTAATACCCAGTAAACATTGGATGATTTATCAACGGATAGAGTGACTTCCAACCTCAGTGTATTGCTGAGTTACAAGTTCAGGAGTTGGCCCTAAAAACATATAGAAGTCCAAAATTCCTCCTGTGGTGCGGTATGTCAGGGCAGGAGTGGGCTGGAATGCCACATCTGTTAAAAAAAAAAAAGAGAAAAAGAGGGAGAGAGAAAGATGTGGAGTATCCTTAGAACTATGAATCCCCAGACACGGAATCTGCCCTAAAATTTGCTATCTTCACTCCCTTACTTTAATGCCCACCCCCTCTAGAAAGTCCTCTCTTATGCAGTGGAATTAGAGACGGATTTTCAGGTATCACACACACATAATCTCAGTCCCAACATCTTATATTACTCTGTGAGAGAGGGCTAAAGTGTCACAGTAAAACAAGGTCATAGAAGAGTAGGGACCATGTTTACTCAAAACTGCATATCAACACCTGGCCTAGAGCTCTCAGTAAAACTTGAATAAATCAGTGAATGGGATGTCGGTTTATTTGTTCCATTTCCCTTGCCCTTGACTTTATTTCTATTGATATTCCAGATTCCCCCAAAGTGGTCACAGCTGATCACGGAGGCACACAGAGAGTGTGCCTCTGTCTCACCCATGGCATTGCTGTTCAGCAGGAGCACTCCGTGGGCACTGCCGTCCGCCTCCAGTGCCATGTAGTAGGGGTGGACACCGTAGGAATTCTTCTTGTACTGGGGGAGTCAAGGGGAGAGGAGGTGAGTAATCAAAAAGAGAAAAGCCAAGAGGTTGTTTTCACATCATAATCCAAACAGTAAACTCCTCTTTAGTACTGAAGATTCAGTACAACGTCGTGTCCTTTGTAAAGCCTGCCTTGATCCTTCCCTCCGTCCCAAGTAAAACCCTAAGTGCCCCCCTTGTTTATTACATAATTCTATTAGAGCAATGATTACATTGTATTACCATTATTTCTGCATCTCTCTCCTGTTACTAGCCCATAAGCCCCTGGAGAACAAAGACAGTGTCATATTAAATTAGACAGTATCTTATTCTACGTGTGCCTGACACACAGAATATATTAAATAAAAGTTTATGGTTTATGAAATAAATAAAATCTATAGTCCACAGGAAAGATAGATAGATAGACAGACAGACAGACAGATAGATAGGGAGTCTTTTAAGGAAAGACCATAACGTTAGCTTATTTCATCTGAGAGTAGAATTAATTTCTCAGTATAGGGTGGAGCTGAATAGGGTACCAGACATGGGCATATGGATTAAAATTAGTTTCAAGAGAGAGAAACTGATTGATAATCTTGTTCTTCCGTGCTTACCGCTGGTGGCTCATCTCGAGCAAACATCCCCCACATGTTCCAGCTGATGTTTCTCCTGAAAGTTGTGTGTTCGGTTTCCCCAAAGCCATAGATGTTCTCAGAGGGGAGGCGCGTGGAGATGGAAAGGAACATGTCGTTGAAGGTGAAGCCGGGGAGCTGGGAGTCCCAGCTGCAACACAAGGGCAGACCTCGGTGCTGAGCTGAGCACAGGCCAGGGCAAACACGGGCTACATGGGGACGTGGGGTTGATTCAGAAGCCTCTTGAGTGTTCACACATCGAATCCAGGTTCACATCCTTTGAGATGACCCAGGTCATAACAATAGCCATAACTCACTGCCAAGGTTCTGTGTCTGCATTTGGATTCTGTGGTTTGCAAGACTCAGAAATCCTTTCTGAGTCATGTGCTCCTTGAGGACAAGGACCCCATCTCCCTCAACTCTGTATTTCTACATCTCATTGCCTGGCCTATCAGCTTGAATAAATGTAGGGATAAATGATAAGGTAAAAGCACATTTTCCAATAGAAAATGTAAAACTCTTAGAACAACTTTTCTGGATTGGCCAAAGAATTCCTATCAAAGAAGGTAACAGAAAGACAGAGAGAGCTGAAGACACACACAGGTGACGGTTTCTACTCAGACGGGGAACTTCAGCCCCAGGCAAAATCCACACCTTCACTTCATTCCATCCAGCTGCAGAACAAAGGATGAGAGATGACAACTCCTTTCAGGCTTAATATTGTGAAAAAGCTTTGAGTCCAAAGTCTCAGTAGGAGCAAGGACTGTAAGAAGCCTTAGTAACCTTTGCCCATCTCTCCAGACTCTTCTGTTACTATTTCTTAACGAGGCTACATAGAATTGATTTCCATCGTACGTTATATGTTGTAACCAGTAATTAGTTTCCTGTTCTACTTAACAATAACAGTGAATTGACCATGTATTTTCCTTTCTCTAAAAACAAGCATCACTTAGTGTTTTTAAACATTTGATTAATTTTTCTTGTCGACTTGATGACTAATAGAAAACAAAATCCCTTTTGAAGTAGGGGCAATAGGTCCACGCTCTGTTTAACATACTTACGTAGAGTCTCTAAAGATTAATCTCTCACTTGCTTCCATACAGCCACCATGATTAGCTCTACAACCGCTCTAATCAGGACCAAATAAAGCATGCTTACACCACAGTGCCAGAGCTTTTTCGTCGAATCTGGATCCCGAAAGGATTGCTCTGAATGCTGACATCATACAGACAGTTTTCAGGGGAGCCGACTGGAGAGGGTGGGGTGTTCAGAGGCACGGGGACCTCGTACCTTTTATTATTGGGATCATAGATCTGACAAGAAGAGAGAAGGAAACTTTCTGATGGAATCCCAGACCTCCCATCCCTGGTGCCCGCTTGTCCAATTCAGTTCCCGTGTTTTCCCGGCCAGTCTGACTCACAGCAGGAGGCATCAAATATTCCAAAGCAAGTAGGTGTGAGGCCTACCCACCCACCGTGCCTGATACAGAGCCTGAATCCCAAAAATGCCTCAGTAAGACCCATTCAAAGCCAGCAAGGGCACGTCCTCCAAAAATTCATGATTTAAGGGTATAGAATCTCATGGATAGAATGTGTGTGTGTGTGTGTGTATGTTTATGAGTGTGTGGTATGCGAACATGTATGTGCATGTGACTGTTTACGTGTGAGCACGTGTGTGTATGTTAGAAATTAGAGAACTGAGTTTTCACACGGACTCATCTTCCTGCTTGAGCTTCCAGACTTCGTGCAGATCTCCTTCCCTAAGACTGGCCTTTTGCACCTACCACTAGTTCCTACCTACCTAACAGGTCTGATGTGTGGGAAAAATGAGAAGTAAAAAGTGTTATGCAAGGCCAGGGAGTATCTGGCATGAGCAGGCATCCTCTTCCTCATATTAGTAGCTCACGTATTAGACAAGTTTTGTCTAAAGCCTTGCTTCTCAAAACCATTTCTCAGACTAAAAGCAGCTTCCACAATGTTTCACGACGTTAAGCAGAATCACCTGGGAGCTTGCCGGGACTGCAGAATCTTAGGCCTCACCCCAGACCTTCTGAATCTGAATCATTCTCACAAGATCCCTAGGGTGATTCCTCAAACATTCAAGTGTGAAAAGCAGTGTCCAAAGCTGAGCTGTCCAAGGCGGTCTCCAAGACCACATGTGTTGTCTGGATTGAGACTCACTGTCTCAAAACACACAGCAAATTTTGAAGACTTAATGTGATTAAATTCTCTTGATAACTGTATTTGGATGACATTGGAAAATGATAATATCTTAGTATACTGAGTAAATGAAGTGCTATTAAAACTAATTTCACTTGGTTACTTTTCAAATCCATTTTTAAAAATTCAGCTGTTGGAAAACTTAGGTGGTTCACACTGTGTTTCTGTTAGAGCAGAACAGTGGGTCTCAAGGTGTGGCCCCTGCTCTTGCAGCATCAGCATCACCTGGAAACTTGCTAGAGATGCAAATCCTCGGGCTGGGAACCCGGGGGATAAGGCGCAGCGATCTGACCTTTAACAAGATTCACAGGTGATTCTGATGCACGCTGAAGTTTAAGAACCACTGCTAGAGAAATAACTCTGAACTTCGAAGTGGGTTAATGCCACTAACGTGACTTCCTACAAAGCAGACACACTTCTCAGGGTTAAGGGATGATTCTTCGAGGATGTTCATGACTTAGGGCACTCATCCTTTTAGGAAATTCACCAGCCTGG